ATGGGATTCTTTATAAATAAGATTGATCTCATAAAAGTAAGATCATTAACACTCCTCTAACTATGATGAGTTTATCTCTGGAAGGTGAGGCAGCATCTAAGGTAGCCATAGTAGCCATCTGAATTAGACTGCTCTGATGCAGTTGAATTTTCGGAGTTCCAAAAAAAAAAAAAAAAACTTGCTTCCAAATTTGAAGACGTTTCGTTTGCCATTGGAAGCCAAATTTGGCAACAAAATCCGGTGGATTGTTTTTAGTTTTTTGGAATGACTATGACCTGGATGACTGTGATCATCACCAGCAACTTTCAGAGTTTGCAAAACTATTGTCTTCATCTAAGCCTTCAGCTTCTGTGTTAGATCCAGATCCAACCAGGTTATTTAAGGAAGCTTTCCCTCTGATCTACTCCCCCATTTTAGACATAATTAATCTATCTCTGTTACAGGGATATGTACCAAAGGCTTTTAAGGTTGCTGTAATTAAACCTTTGCTTAAGAAACCATCTCTTAACCCAGATGACTTGGTCAATTATAGACCTATATCCAATTTTCCTTATCTAAAATTTTTGTAGTTGCCAAAAACAGGTGTGACCACTTCCACCATAATGAACTTTTTGAAGAATTTCCGTCAGGCTTTATAGCTCATCATAGCACTGAAAAGGTTCTGGTTAAAATCGTTATATTTTCATGGCCTCAGATGACGGACTTGTGTCTGTACCTGTATTGTTCGATCTCAGTGCTGCATTTGATACAGTTGATTATAATATTCTTTTAGAAAGTGTTGAATATTTTGTTGGAATTAAAGGAACATTAGACTGGTTTAAATCTTATCTATCTGATCGAATTCAGTTTGTTCATGTTAATGATAGATCTTCAACACGCTCAAAGGTTACCTGTGGAGTACCACAGGGATCAGTGCTAGGACCAATTCTCTTTACTTTATACATGCTCCCAATTGGTAGAATTATTAGACAGCATGGGATTAATTTCCACTGTTATGCTGATGATACCCAGCTATATCTGTCTATAAATCCAGATGAAGCTAACCCATTACATAGATTACAGGCATGTCTGAAGACATAAAAACCTGGATGACTCTTAACGTTCTCCTTCTGAATGAAGACAAAACAGAAGTTTTAGTCTTTGGACCAGAGTCTCTGAAAAAGAAGCTTATTAGTCAGTCACTTCATTTGGATGGGATTAAACTGATTTTGGATAATAAAGTAAAAAATCTTAGTGTTATTTTTGATCAGGACCTGTCATTTAAATCCCATATCAAAGAGGTTTCTAGAATTTCCTTCTTTCATCTGAGGAACATTGCAAAAATGAGAAATCTCCTGTCCAGGGGTGATGCTGAGAAACTAGTCCATGCATTTGTTACTTCAAGGCTGGACTATTGTAATTCTTTACTATCAGGAAGTCCACAAACTGTAGTTAAAAGCCTTCAGCTGATCCAAAATTCTGCAGCCAGAGTTCTAATGAAAATGAAAAAGAGAGATCATATCTCTCCTATCCTGGCTTCTCTTCATTGGTTTCCTGTTAAATCCAGAATAGAATTTAAAATCCTCCTTCTCACATATAAAGCCTTAAATGGCCAAGCTCCATCTTATATCAGAGATCTGATTGTTCCTTATGTTCCTAACAGAGCACTTCGCTCTCAATCTGCAGGTTTACTAGTGGTTCCTAGAATTTCTAAAAGTAGAATGGGAGGCAGATCTTTTAGTCATCAGGCTCCTCTCCTGTGGAACCAACTACCAGTTTTAGTCCGTGAGGCAGACACCCTGTCTACTTTTAAGGCTAGGCTTAAAACTTTCCTTTTTGATAAAGCTTCTAGTTAGAGTGGCTCAGGTTATCCTGAGCTATCTCTATAGTTATGCTGCTATAGGCTTAGACTGCTGGAGGACATAGGGACCCCTATTTCATCATTCTGCTTCATTCTATCTCTATTCTCCCACTCTGCAGAATCCGTTAGTTCAATCTCTAACATTCTGCTCTCTCTGTGCTTTTATCATAGTAGCTTCATCTGGTCTGTTCCTGTTTGGCTGTTACTCCATCCTGGAGAGAAATATCAGCTGTGCTGCTTCCATCAACACCCTTGTTTATACAGGTGCTGGTCATAAAATTAGAATATCATGAAAAAGTAGATTGATTTCAGTAATTCCATTTAAAAAGTGAAACTTGTATATTATATTCATACATTACATACAAACTCATATATTTCAGATGTTTATTTTGTTTAATTTTGATGATTACAAATGACAACAAATGAAAATCTCAAATTCATCATATCAGAAAATTAGAATATTACTGAAGACCAATAAAAACAAAGGATTTATAGAAATGTTGGCCAACTGAAAAGTATGAACATGAAAAGTATGAGCATGTACAGCACTCAGTATTTAGTTGGGCCTCCTTTGGCCTGTATTACTGCAGCAATGCGGCGTGGCATGGAGTCGATCAGTCTGTGGCACTGCTCAGGTGTTATGATAGCCCAGGTTGCTCTAATAGTGGCTTTTAGCTCTTCTGAATTGTTGGGTCTGGTGTATTGCATCTTCTTCTTCACAATACCCCATAGATTTTCTATGGGGTTAAGGTCAGGAGAGTTTGCTGGCCAATTAAGAACAGGGATACCATGGTCCTTCAACCAGGTACTGGTAGCTTTGGCACTGTGTGCAGGTGCCAAGTCCTGTTGGAAAATGAAATCTGCATCTCCAAAAAGTTGGTGAGCTGCAGGAAGCATGAAGTGCTCTAAAACTTCCTGGTATGTGGCTGCGTTGACCCTGGACCTCAGAAAACACAATGGACCAACACCAGCAGATGACATGGCACCCCAAACCATCACTGACTGTGGAAACTTTACACTGGACTTCAAGCAACGTGGATGAAGTGCCTCTCTTCTTTTCCTCCAGACTCTGGGACCTTGATTTACAAAGGAAATGCAAAATTTACTTTCATCAGAGAACATGACTTTGGACCACTCACCAGCAGTCCAGTCCTGTTTCTCTTTAGCCCAGGCAAGACGCTTCTGACGCTGTCTGTGGTTCAAGAGTGGCTTGACACAAGGAATGCGACAGCAGAAACCCATGTCTTTCATACGTCTGTGTGTGGTGGTTCTTGAAGCACTCACTCCAGCTGCAGTCCACTCTTTGTGAATCTCCCCCACATTTTTGAATGGGTTTTGTTTCACAATCCTCTCCAGGGTGCGGTTATCTCTCTTGCTTGTACACTTTTTTCGACCACATCTTTTCCTTCCCTTCGCCTCTCTATTAATGTGCTTGGACACTGAGCTCTGTGAACAGCCAGCCTCTTTAGCGATGACCTTTTGTGTCTTGCCCTCCTTGTGCAAGGTGTCGATGGTCGTCTTTTGGACAACTGTCAAGTCAGCAGTCTTCCCCATGATTGTGTAGCCTATAGAACTAGACTGAAAGACCATTTAAAGGCTTTTGCAGGTGGTTTGAGTTAATTAGCTGATTAGAGTGTGGCACCAGGGGCCATCAATTTTGAACCTTTTCACAATATTCTAATTTTCTGATATGATGAATTTGAGATTTTCATTTGTTGTCATTTGTAATCATCAAAATTAAACAAAATAAACATCTGAAATATATGAGTTTGTATGTAATGTATGAATATAATATACAAGTTTCACTTTTTAAATGGAATTACTGAAATCAATCTACTTTTTCATGATATTCTAATTTTATGACCAGCACCTGTAGATGTTTGAGCTCGGCCTGTTTTTCAGTGTAGTCCTGTTTCTTTGACTGGCTGGATGTTCCCTCTTCATCCTTCAACATTGGAGCTGGCTCAGATTTCGTCGGCCTGGCTGTGTTTTTCCTGGAGCCTGTGGAGCTGGTTGAAAGTTGCCTTTTGTATCTCTGCTTCTTTTTGTGTCTCTGCTTCTGTCTCCTTGAACCCCAGTCGGCCTCAGCAGATGGCCGCTCACACTGAGCCTGGTTCTGCTGGAGGTTTCTTCCTGTTAAAAGGGAGTTTTTCCTCTCCACTGTCACTACAAGCATGCTTAGTGTGAGGGCTAGCCTCTGAGTCAATGAGTCGATGCAATCAACTGGCTTTCCTCAGATAGAAAACTTTGAAAAGATTTGACTGTATGATTTAAAGTGCCTTGAGATGACGTGTGTTGTGAATTGGTGCAATATTAATAAACTGAGATTGAGATTGAATTGAACAACTTGAGTAGCTAAGTCAGGAAGGATTCGGGTCCAAGTTTTGATATGACAATGCTCCTGCTAAATAGACCTGTAGGGAGGGACTGAGGGTTTCGAGACGGTGACATCACCGGAGACTGGCTCCCAATATCCATCCATCCATCCATTTTCTGACATGCTTAATCCCAACTAGGGTCGCAAGGGCTGCTGGTGCTTTTCTCCAGCCGTCTACGGGCGAGAGGCAGGGTACACCCTGGACAGGTCACCAGTCCATCGCAGGGCTCCCAATATAATAACTTAATTTAAAAGATTGATCAGATTCAGTTTTATGAACTGAAAATAAGAACTTTATTGAAATGGGTTTTGCACACCAAACATTAATTGGAGACTTTTTCAACATTTTGTGTTTCTTTGCAATTATTTTTGAAAACACCATAGTAGTCCTTAACACAGTTAAATAACACACTACAATCCAGTAATAAATATGCCCTATTATCCATTGATAATAGGGCATACACACACACATACACACACCAACACTCGTTCTGCCATCGTAGTGAGGACCATATGTTGACTGCCACTGGTTTTCAGTCATTTTCAACCCTTTCTATGCCCTTACCCTAAAACTAACCCCAAATCTACCCATTACCAATGCATACCTCACCCTAACCCTAACCAATTGACACCTTAGCCCTAAACCCAACCATTAGAAAAACACCATGTGAGGACCGGCAAAATGTCCTCAGTTTGCAACAACTGGACCTCAATTTTATGGTGAAATTGGAAAAATGGTCCTCACTCTGAGGGCTAGACAGTTAAACACACACACCCACTTACCTGCCGTAGTCGGACATTACTGGTCACAATCTGGTTAACTTCATCCTTAAAAAAATAAAGAACAACACAAGCTTATGACCAGCCTGTTCTCGTCTGAGAACAGAAGCTAAGCAGGATCAGACATAATTATTACATGGATAGGTGCTGCAGTCACAAAGAAAATTAAGGAAATAGTAAAAACAGCTGCAGACTCCTAAAAATATGAAAGTGTTCTGGACCACTAGAAGGAGTAGAACAAAGAACTAACCCTATCCAACCAGTTTCTTACTTATATTACTATACTTAACTATTTGGTTATTCTGTTATACTATAAGACTGTTTGTTTGAAATTGATAAGAAAGATAACAAATCTCTCCTCATTCTTCCAAATGTCTTCTTTTCTGTGTTAAAGCCTTCCTGTTTGGACGTCTTATGCAAAACACATACCTCTTGTAACTGTTGTGCAATATTCCTTTCTCTCACTGTGCAATAACACATGCCAACCAGTGTTGTTTTTCGTAGCCATCTTAGATTTAGTCTTTATTCTTAGTCGAAAACTGTTATTACTTTTAATCACATTTTAGTCATTACGATATGTGATAGTTTTAGTCGTTTTAGTGAGTTTCATGTTGCAAAAAAGTGAACCTTTACAATTTACAAAGTTGTAAAAATAGCAGATCTAGTTCAATACTTCATATTGGTTAATATAGCAGACAGACAAGTTAACAAAATGTAGAATAAAGGAATGGTTTTAAACATAAAAGGTTTCCATCGTAAAGCAAACACGTCCTGATCTACTATGAATTATGCATTACACACAGATCTAGGGCTGGGTACCGAACATCGGTTCTTTTATGGTACCGACCGAAATGCTTCGGTTCTACAGAGTATTGAAACATGCCTCGTCTTTCGGTACTGTTAAGGAAGAAAATATTCTAAAATAGTTAACTTTGGAAAAAGGTTGGCTTCTCTCTTCCTTTCCCAGATCCGCTCGGCGAGCTGCGTGTGGCCACAAGGAAAACCAGCATTGCGTGTTGACGTCACAGAATTACAGAGTTTAATCCAATATAAGACAATGCATAAACTTAGAAATAAGACAATGCACAAACCTACACCAGAAACTGCAGAACAACGGAGACATACATTCAATTACCTGACATAAATGGAGAGAAGGAAAGAAAGCAAAGACGTACAAAGACATCTTTGGAGAGCAAATCTGATTTGTTACTCTGTGTAGAAAGTTTTATCCTCTTGTATTTAATTTATTCAAATAAGGCTGGCTTTTGCTCCTCCAACCAGGAGCTATCTCTGACACTCACAAAAACTTAGAGCTTCCCCTAATTTACGGCAAACATCTGGGGTCATTTGCTTCTTTGTTTTAACAAGAAAAAGCGGAAAGCTTGTCTTGGCATCTAGAATTCTTAGGGTCATCTGGCTAAGATAAGCTTTCACAGACAGCTGTGGAATGCGGGGGCCTCTCCTACCATAAATTCTCATGAACAAACTTAAATTCAGTATTTTGGTTCAAGGAAAGGTTATCTTCACAAACTTGTTCTTGTTCAAAATTAAGAAATATGTTCAAAATGAGAGTGCTCAACATACCTTTTACACATGCCATAAGATTAACTGTATTAAAAACTAAAAATAATAATTTTTCTTTAACATTACCAAGTTTCGGTGATTGGCTGTAACACTTAACTTGATTGCGTCATCCAGGAAAAATACACAGGTGGTCCCGCCTACAGCAGGGTTCATGTGTATCTGTTGTGAACTGGTTGCGAGCGTCGTGGAACCCCTTTAAAATGCCCTCCAGGTCAAAAGTGCGGCTTCACTTTATTAAGACTGATGCCAATAGTGCGCAATGCAATACATCGTGCACGGAAACAATTTAAGAGCAGAAAGTTGCTCGGTGTTTGACTTTAGAGCGGACCGCAGCCAGCGCGACCATCCTCCTCTCAGCAGCCCTTGGGCAGCGCAAAGCCAGAGCGGAGTGAATCATGCTACGTTCACATCGGACGCAGCAAGAGCAGCAAAATCGCGTCTGCTGCTTCATTTTTGCTGCTTGTACTAGTTTAGTTCTGACGCGCAGCTGAAGCAGCTCTATCCTTTCTTTGCCTTGCAGCTATATTTGCTGTGATCAGTGGGAATAAAGTAGTTTTATTATGTTTTTAAGTGGGAAAATCCACCTAAAAACTTCATCAGTTCATCCAGATTATCATCCTGCCTTCCAATATTATTCCTGTTTGAGCCACTCAGACCCCCACATACCAGCGGTGCGCTGTCAGTAGGATTCCCATTCAATGGGATTGTTTGTCTCCTGAGAAAGCAAACATGTTAATCTTTCTAAAGAAAAACTGCTAATTAAAAAGGTCCTCACAATGTAACAGTGAATTTTAGACACTGACTTGTTTGCAACTGTTCTTCTTCACTGAACATTTTTTTTTATGTAAGAGGAAAAATGTAAATGGAAAAATCGGCTTTAAATAAAACTCAAGATTTGTACTTTATCATGTTGTGTAATTTTCTTTTTTTTCGAATTGAAATTATAAAACTGGTATCGAAAAAAGTTTCGTTCAGGAACCGGTATTGAAGTGAAGGTATCGGTAGTGGTACCGGGACCGAAAATTTTTGAACGATACCCAGCCCTACACAGGTCAATAAAATCTTCATTGCTCAAAAAAAAAAAAAAAATAACAAAAGCATTATTCTTTCTACTTTTGACATTTGGTTGTATTTCTGAGAATTTGCCCCTTGGTTCCTGCTGCTCAGGGGTCAAAGTAGATTTAAATTCACAGGGTTTTGATGTAAAAAAAAAAAAAAAAAATACAGAGAGAAAACCACACCTAAATTGAATGAATATGCTACCTAAAATGTTGAAATGTTTAAAGGGCACAGAGAAAATGTTTTACTGACAATACAAGTAATCATTTGCATAATATTTAAACAGATAGAAACGAGAACAATGAGAGAGAAATTTTCAAAGTTCTATGTGCCTTCTTATTGGGCTCTCTATCCAAAAATAAACAGAATTCAATGAAATATTTAATTTGGATATAATTTTGGGATTCCTTTTGGTATAAATTAAAGAATTTTTAGTATCACCTCTTGTGAGCTGGAAGAAATAAAATCTTAATAGTTAGACAAAGGGTTTTTTACTGTTGGCTGAAGATGATCAGCCACATGTAGTTTATTAAGTAGCAATGGAAGATCCATACTACTGAAAGCTAACCATTAGAGTGGAGTGTGAAACGCAGACTCGGGGCAGAATTTGTCAGCAATGAGGGCGCAGTACCTGATTATTCCACCCGAGTGAAGTTGGCCCCCCCACCTTCTTTAAATCAGACAAAATTGGTGTCAAACGTTTGTTCTACGTTTGTGCTGGTTTGTGCAGCTAAAATGTTCGTTTGTGCCGCTACCATTTTAAAGATATAAAGAGATGTTTCTAGAGGTCATCAAAGGTCAAGTAGCTCCCCAACTTTCTTCAAATGAGGCAAAGTGGGTGTCAGTTAACTCAGCTCCGTTTGTGCTGGTTTGTGTAGCAAAAACAGATGTTAACTGACCTTTGATGACCTCTACAAAATATTATTAATATCATTGAAATGATAGCAGTACAAATGAAAATTTTTGCCATACAAAAATATAAAATTTTAAAATTCATTTTAATTTATATAAAATATTTAAAATAAAAATATAAAAAATTTAGAAATGCATATTTTGAAATATATACAGTTTTTGTACTGCTATCATTTTAATGATATCAATAACTGTTTGTAGAAGCCATCAAAGGTCAGTAAACATTTGTTCATTCTGAAACTCTGAATTTCATATAAATTATAGGTTGCTAACCTATGATTATATAATTTAATATTCTCTTTATATCTTTAAAATGGTAGCGGTACAAACGAAACTTTTTGCTGCACAAACGTAGCACAAACGTTTGACACCAATTTTGTTAAATTTGAAAAAGGTGGGGGGGCTGGTCGACCTTTTGACCTTTACATTTTCATTAATATCTTCAAAGCCAAAGCAGCACAAACAACATTTTTTTGCTGCACAAACCAGCACGAACGGAGCTGAGTTGATTGACACCCATTTCATCTGATTTGAAGAAGAATGTTTTTAGAGCATAAACAGTAGTGTATAGGATTTCCTAAAAGCGCGTTCACGAGTCTACGGAATCCGTGGCAGACCAAACCAGACAAAAGTGCGCATTCAGCGTCTGCTCTGCCGATAATGCAAGCATAGAAGAAGAAATGTGCTGTTTACCTGTGCAAAGAAAGAAACAACGAAAGAAAAATGTCTGAGGACTTCAGTGTTGAGGAAGAGCATGAGTTCTTTGCCGAGCTGAATGTGCACTTTCATCTGGTTTGGTCTGCCGCGGTTTCCGTAGACTCGTGAACGCGCTTTCAGGAAATCCTATACACTACTGTTTATGCTCTAAAACATTCTAAATGACTTCGTTTCGAGTAAATTCTGGATGCTACCCACTCAGGACACTTGGAATACATTGGACGAGCAGTATGGAGGAATATTGACACGTTTTTTGTGGACTTTTATGGACCTTTCTGTCTCGGGCGCCATAGACCTCCATTATTTGAATGTCAGCAGACAGCAAGAAGCCTCCCAGATCTCCAGATGCATTTGAGATATCAAAAAAGTACTCCAGAGTGTTGTTCAGCATGGGGGTGAGTAGAAAATGAAGGCTAATCATGTTTTGGGTGTACTATTCCTTTAAGGGTGTGCAAAAGGGTCCACAAATTCTATTTTCATATTTGGTTCTTGTGGAATTTTTGTTTAATCCTCTTTTTGTTATTGCGATATTCGATCCTCATGCCTACAAAAAAAAAGTCTGGTTTGGTTGAATAGTAAAAAGTTAATATTTTTGTATTCAACCGAAACAGTTCAAAAAGTTCATATTGGTGTTCAATAATGTATTTATTTATAATCAAATAAAAGTCTTCTAAATCATAAATGAGTTATGAAGTCTGAAAGCGTATTCTTAGGTCTACATTTTCAATATTTTCCATGATACAACATTCAGTTTTTAACATACTCACCACACTAATAAGTTGGATAAGCTGCAGTCCCACAGTCACTACTACAGGATCACTGAAGTGATTAACTGGACGCACCACTTTGTTATAACCTTTAAACAGGGTTTTCACCAGTCGTGTCTCATCTTCTGAACATAATCCAAACCCTAATAAAAATAGAAAAAAAGTTAAATTAGGGCATTTTTAGATTTACTTTAAAGGTTAACATTAGTATATTCCAAATTATCAAGGCCAGGCAAATTACTTATATAGCAGGATTCAGTACAAAGAAATTGAGAGTGCTTTACACCAATGAAGCAATAAAATAAACTTAAAGCAAAATAAAAACTAAAAATACAAACCAAATAAAATCAGTACAGCAAATAAAACAGTTGGACCACAAACTTAAACTAATGATACCTCAGCAGTGTGCGAAATACCTGTCAATATTCGGGGGGGGTCCCCATCTCCCGATTGTTGCGCAATACGGATCTAAATTTTCTCAATATGCAGTAGGCCTATAACATTTCAAAGTCAAAGTCAGCTTTAATGTCAATTCTTTAGATTCACCAGACATAAAAGGACTGGAAAGGACGTTTCTCATTCACCAACAGTGAAACAGATAAAGTGCACAGGCACAACAGATAAGATCAGTTCCTAATACTAAAATTTAAACATTCAATTTCACAATAAAATATAAAATGTACAATAATATAAAATATGCAATACTTATGCTAGTGCAAAAAGGCAGATGGTAATGGCAGCAGAAAAATTATTATTATTATTACCAATTATGTAAGATATAGCATTTGTAACTGTAACAGTGCAAAAGAACAGTAAATAAATATAGTATTAATAGTAGTGCAGGAGACAGTTTGTCCGGAGTGATTTTTTTTTGAGGGGGGGGGGGGGTCAGCTTCCTGACAGCTTGGTGGATGAAGCTTTCTGTGAATCTGGTGGAGCGGGCAAGAGCCTGAACAGACAGTCAATGAAAACACACACACGCACAAAGACTGTCTGTCTGTCTGTCTGTCTGTCTCTTTCTTTCATGCACGCACATGTCCTGCTTTAATCCAGTTTCTGACGAATGGAAATGGGTCGAATTTGTCCAGAGGTCCGTTGAGGTCCACAAACAGGAGTGAAGACCTGCTGTCTTCATGCAATCTGTTCCGCTTTGCCCGTGTTATTAACTGCGGAAACGCACATGGCTAATTTGCATACGCGAACAGAATTGGCTGGCTCCACTTGGCAAAAAACAGAGCATGTTTGTGAATAAAGGTTTTGAATTTTAATACTGGACCTGTTGAGCTTAAAAACATTTTTGTGACCATTAGTGACAAAAAAAATTTTTTTTGTCCTGCCCTCACTCTTAGCTTAGCAGGTAGATAACCATCATTTCCAATAACCACTCCGTAAGCCTTTTCTTTGGATTTATTGGCTGGTATGGATGGATGAATGAATGGTAAAACTGCAACAAAGAAATAATGTGCATAAGTCTTTGTGTAAACAGGCACAATTCCAAATAAACAGGCACGATTCTCCTAAATAATAAACTCAACATATTCGCTGAATATGTACAGAAACACATAATGACACAAACATGTTAACGTTAGCCGCTAGCTAGCGGCATCGCTAACGGCTAGTTAGCGCGTATGCTAACGGCTAGTTAGCGCGTATGCTAGCGTCTTTTTACACTTCTCTTCTCGGTGACCTTTCTTGCAATAATTTAAGACCCCCCCTTAAATTTTGCTTTTGAGGCTTTCAGGGGGTCTCATGGGTTAATGGGGGGGGTCGAGCCCCCCCGGACCCCCCCGTATTTCACACTCTGATTATGACTGTTTAATTATAGTTGGAGACTTTAACTTTCACGCTGACAACCCTGAAGACAGAAGTGCTAAAGAACTGTGTGACACACTTAGAAACTTTGGTTTAACTCAACATGTTAAACAACCAACGCACAAACAGGGACATATTTTAGACTTGATCATCACTAAAGGTCTGAAGATTTCTAAAGTCAGTGTTACTGATGTTGCCCTATCCGATCACTTTTCTGTTACCTTTGAGGGCATCATTTCCAGTGACTCATTTAGGTCATCTCAGGTCACTTTCCAGTTCACCAGATCATCCAGTCAGATTGATTCAAAGTTTTCTATCTAAGGAAAACCAGCTGATTGCATCGACTCATTGACTCTTCAGCAATCCCTCACACTAAGCATGCTTGTAGCGACAGTGGAAAGGAAAAACTCCCTTTGAACAGGAAGAAACCTCCAGCAGAACCAGGCTCAGTGTGAGCGGCCATCTGCTGAGGCCGACTGGGGTTCAAGTAGACAGAAGCAGAGATAGAAAAAGAAGCATAGATACAAAAGGCAACTGTCAACCAGCTCCACAGGCGGCCCCGTCCAGGAAACACACAGCCAGGCAGACGAGCTCCGAGCCAGCTCCCATGTCAGAGGATGAAGAGAGCACATCCAGTCAGTCACAGTCAGAGAAACAGGACTACACTGAAAAACAGGCCAAGCTCCAACATCTAGAAACAAAGGAGTTGATGGCAGTAGAACAGCCGGAAATGGTAACTACTGAGATGGTCAGCATCACAGGCCCCTACAGATGATATGTGGATATCACATATTTCTGCTATTGTCTCAGAAATCATCATCAAAAGCCGGGCAAATTCTGGAGGATCTGGATCCCACCGCATCTTGCCTTGTCCTGCCTTGACACCTTGAGATGACATGTGTTGTGAATTGATGCTATAGAAATAACCTAAATTGAAATTAACTTGAAAAAGATCCCAGAGAGCTGAGCATAACTCAACAGTTTATAAATAAAACCAGTAACGTAGAGTAGAATATTAACATTTCATGCTGGAAAATATTTGATTTTATACTCAGGAATTCACCGTCTTAACCTCATAGCTAACATACATTTTATACCTATTTTTCTGCAACCACAAACAGCTTGCACAATCATTTTGCTGATTGCTGTTTTCAGAAAATTAACCAAGAAATTCTGAGTTTATAAAAAGGCTGTTAAGAGAAACAACAGCCTTGTCATTTATAGAAATTATACATTCACGTTAATAAAGGGGAAAAAATATAAATGCCTTTTGTTGTGTTTTATATTTTAGCCTTTAGTCTAATGTGATTAATGCTGACTTTTCAGCCTGTCAATACTCACTACTACCGCCCTCTGCTTTATGGGGGAACAGCTAGTTCCATCATATTCCACTATCTGACAATGTTAAAGAATCCTTTACAAAACTTAATCTATCCCAATTATGATCGGGTTTAACACCAAAATAGTAATAGCATTCCTTTGCCTGAGACGCATCTCTGGTAAAAATGTAATTAAAATCTGATTAAAGTAATCAGGCTAATAGACAGACAAACACAGAAACACAACTAAAACATAACTTCCTTAGAGGACATAAAAAAAAAAAGCCAAGCAATTGATGTATGAAATTAGGATTCCACCCTAATAAATACCATGGCAACATTTTATATATTTCAAATAAAAGACTTTAAATTCAGGAAGGAATATTCCTTTATACTGTTGTTCTGTTGGTAGAACAGTAAACTTTCTGTGCTTTGTTTTGATGTAAAAATAACCCTACTGGGCTATCAAGGCCTTATGACATCACCATAGAATGATGATGTTATACATTCCTTTGATCCCTCTTATATATATGAGTGGTTAGAATCTTTGCTTCATTCCAGCATAGATATCTGGTGTGCTAGCTGTGGTTATTTTGCTCTCAAAGCGTTTATTGATTTAAACTGCAAGAAAACATCTAAAAAATGAATTTCTGGGCAAAGAACGTTGATCTCGCTTTGGTAACAGAAATGCGTAAAACAAACAGGAGAAACGCCCTAGAACTCTGTTTACTCAACGAACATCTTGAAAAAGGTTTTCGTGAAATGATTTCACACCCTGATGTGGACAAACGGATAGAAACCGAAAAATCCTTAAACAAAAAATTTGAAAAGAGGATCAAGGAGCTTCAACACGAGCTAAGAGCCCAGAACAGTTTTACGGAGATCATCGCTGCAGAAACTGAAAAGATAAAGGCTTTATGCTTGAGGAATATGGAACTTCTAAAGCAGTGGGAAACTATGAAAGATGAGGTAATAAATCTAAAGACACTGAAAAGTCAGTACAAGATCACAAAACAGCAAAAGAAAACGCTCAAGGAAGCTAACAAGTATATAGAAAAACGGGTGAAGAAGTTGAGCAAAGAAGCTTCAAATCAAAGTGAAGTAGCTATGGAGGAAAAAAATAACTTGCCGGCTTGCTCTCCAAGCAAACAAAGCCAATCAGAGGAAGTTAGACATTCTGAATATTTATCAAATGACTTTCCCTCAGAACTCGTCATTTACGAGAGAGAAGCAACACCAGCTGAACAGCAGACCAAGGAACAAGAATTACTACACTCAGTTTTAGAGTTGTCTGACAAAATATGTGAGGAACCAAGTCAGTTAGCACGGAAACAACAACATTCAGACCAGAGGACTGATTTTGATAGCATTTCAATTGACTCGTCCTCAGAAATGGAGGAATGTGAAAGCGGACCTCAGCCTGCTGACCAACAGACTGAGGAAAAAGCTTTTTTAGAGCCTGTTTCTGACAATGTATGTGAGGAACCAGGTCAGTTAGCAGAGAGAGAGACAACCCAAGCAAAAGATTCAGTGGACACATCAGATGACGGGACAGTCAGTTCTTGGTTCTTCACTCCATATAAGTTTATTTTTAGTTGAAGTGTTATTCTGTGTCTTTGTGGTTGTTTTCTGTCAGTGTTTAGTTCTTGAGTTACTCTCTGCTGCCCCCTTGTGTCTATTCCTTTCCCCTTGGCTCCCTTCTTGTTAGTCCTATTCACACCTGCTCCATATCAGCTCATTAGCCCATGTGTAGCTGAGTTAATTAGATTCTTATTTTATTTGATGAACCTTCTCAAAACACCTTTTTGATTAATTTACATGTTTGTTGTTGTTTCTGTTTTATACTGCTTTTATTTTGGTGCTCAGTGGCACAGTGGGTAGCACTGCTGCCTTGCAGCAAGAAGGTTCTGGGTTCGGTTCCTGGCCCGGGGTCTTTCTGCATGGAGTTTGCATGTTCTCCCCGAGCATTTGTGGGTTCTCTCCGGGTACTCCGGCTTCCTCCCAAAGTCCAA